TTTTTTTTTTTTTTTTTTTTTTTGGGCCGATGGCCGTTCAGAGTGCTTCAAGCGATTTCTTCAGCAATCATTTGCACTTTTACTTTATCAGTATCATCACTTGAATCAAAAAGCCCCACACCATTTGCATTATGTTGGAACACCGATGGGACAAGCTGAAATATGAAAACCAGGAGTAAACCATAAACATACCTCATATATATAACTATTTTTTGGAAAATGGTACAGAATAGGTTTAAAAGAAAAAAAAAATCACCTCTTCTTCAGCCAATATATCATCAATATCATAATAATTAGCCATGATTTGTATCGGCCTTTCATTAGTATCGGCCTCCGCAATATTTTTTGAATTGAGCAACAAATTACTACTGAAATCCTATGAGAAAAAAATCCAATTTTGTGCCTGTTCTCTCGAGGGTTTGGGTTGCTGATGGAAAACGATGATGGGCAAGTTTTGATCTCTGCAGAGACGACGAGAATCAGTGGATAAATTGGTGGCTAGGGTTTGCCGCCCTCTACTGAAGTTCGTCGTGCGATCAACGTCGAAGGTGATGATGGGGTCGTCGTTGGCGGTGGTAGTTTGCGCCTGCAGCGTTGAGTTGGCGATTAATGAGAAGAATGAGAGAGGATTCTGGACGGAGGAGAAGAATGAGATAAGATTTCTTGATATTAGGGATTAGTTATTACAATTAATCCTTAATTGATTCAATTTCCATATTTAAATCCTAATTAATAAACTTATAAAATCTGGTATATGTATAAATATGTTGAGGTGATTTTGTGTATTTACAAATAAATATTAATTAGGTGTAAATATGTAATATAAAATATTATTGATAGTATGGGGTGTAAATTCCTCCAGAGTTAACTCATAATTATATCGACCTAGTTAAGAAGGCCCAATCTATAGACATGACCTACAGACATGTCCATCTAGTCCTAATGACATAAGACTTGGGCCGGAGATGTCCCGGCCCGATTTAAAAGACCTGGACCATAGATATGTTGATCCAATTCAAAAGACCTAGTTTAAAAGACTTGGTCTAGAAATATGCCTACCTGATTCGAAAACCTAATCCAAGAGACCTAATTTGGCATACATGTCACTATGTCGGATTGATCTCTATATACCTATACTATCGATGAGAACATCTCCACACTTACAATCAACAAGTACATTTAGAGGTGGTATTCGTTTCAATTTCGAATGGCATTTTGAGACTTTAAAATTCGAGATTTTTAATATTTTTATATTATGAAAGACTCATATGAAATTAAGTTTGTATGCTGGATTTAGAATGATATTTCGTATAAAGTTTTTTTTTGGTTTTTTTTTTTAAATTCCAACAAATCTTAAAATGTCTTACCAAATTAGTCTTCGATAAGCTAAATACCTCATGATTTTGTAAGAGTTTTTAAAATTTCAAATGAATACCCTAAAACTTTTAAAATTCTTAAAAAATCTAAATTAAATAGACCATGATTTATGAAGTCTTAGAAAATATTTAGAAATTCCAAATGAATACATCCCTTATTTAGTGTAATACATGTCGTTTGACATATAAGTCGAACATCTGAAAGTGAACGCATGTACATTAAAGTATATACAATACATGAAAAAAATAATATATGTTACAATAAAATAAAGGATGACATAAAACTTGACATAGTGATATGTGTCACAGTTTTATTATTTTACACATTACGTCACTTTTAAAATCAACAATTATTATACACACATGTTTTTGTCAACCATCCTTAAGTATTATGTTAAGCATAACTTTATTCATACACAAACATCACTTATAAATAAAAAAAGTTAGATTTATAAATAAATATTAAGCACTTCAAGGACACTTTCAAATCAAAATGTAGATTGTACTTTCAAAATTATTAATGCAAATATAGCACTTATTCTTATGTTGGTAAGAATCCAATATCAACAAGTTCAAAGTGAAAGGAAGAAAAAAAAGGACATCCTTGTATTTATACCAAAAAATAAATATTAAAAAAATCTATATTTAAAAGAAAATAATGAAACACTCTTGACTCCCTTACTCAAAAAATAAAAATGAATCAAATTATATTTTTCCAATTTTCAAATATTAATAATTAAATTATTCTCCCACCTTTTATCATTACACCCACCCATGATTTTCTCGGGAATTACTTTACTCTCTTTCTTTTACTAGCTTATTGCCACTGCCACAGCCCAAACATACATTTCTTTATTTTGTCAAAAATTCAAAAATAAAAAATAATAATTCTCTTGAAATCTGCGTAAGGTATAGCGCAGATTGAAGATGGCGGGCGGATACAGGGCGGACGACGACTACGATTATCTCTTCAAGCTGGTCCTGATCGGCGACTCCGGCGTCGGCAAATCCAATTTGCTGTCCAGATTTGCTCGGAATGAGTTCAGCCTCGAGTCCAAGTCCACCATAGGCGTTGAATTCGCTACGCGCAGCATCCGCGTCGATGATAAGATCATCAAGGCTCAGATTTGGGATACCGCCGGCCAAGAGAGGTAATTCGCTGTTTTTGTTTGTAGATTTAGTTTTTAGTGAACAAATTCTGTTCTACTGTGCTGCTGTTGCTTTTGTTGCTATGAAGCTTGTGGAATTGCTTGCTGCTTTTCATTTTTTTTTGGGAATTTTGAGCTGAATGGAGGGGTTTTTACTTTTTAGGGCTGCTGTAGATTTAGCTCGTTTTTGGAAATTTTGGAATCGCTTTTATATGGAGAAAGTAATGTAGATCGTGTTAAGACCTGCAAGTACACAGAACAAACACCAGATCCAGAAAAAATATGCCTGGATTTCGGGGAAAGGCTGCTGGTTTAGGAAATGTAGGTTTTTAGGGCTGTTGAAAATTGCCATCATTGATATATTGCGTCTATATGGGCAAATGGTAATTGGTAATTGGTCATAGACTCATAGGTGCAGAACTTTTTCTCCGAGTAATTATTCGAGAGGGAATCTATTACGAGGGTTGTAAGATGTGTGAATATTAGGAATGTAACGTCTTGCTGCAATAATTTTCAACGACAAATGTGATGAAATATTGACTGTATTTAGGCCCAGTAGCCTGGATTTGAGATACGAATGCAGTTTGATTTTCCTCCCGTATAACGTAATTCAAGTGACAAACTCTTGCCCAAAATGAAATTACCAATATGATTTTCGTTTCTTCCGGGTACTTGGCTAAGCCACCCACGTGTTTTGATGTTTTCTTGCTCTTATTTAGTCTATAATGAAAAGTTAACAGGTAATATTCAGAAGGAATTTAGATTGTCGTCAATCCTCCATGTAAAATGTCCTAAGAATAGTATTAAGCCAGTCAACCTATTTCAAGTTGTTTTAAGTATCAAATCAAAATCTATCCTTTTCGTTTTCAATTTTAAAGAGGATGGCCCTAGGCAAAATTCATCTCATGTTTTAACCTATTCTAAGGTTAGGTCTCCATCTCTTTATAGTGTGCCAAGCCATTTACAAATCACGTTTTCATTTTTCGAATTCATATTTACTTACATTGTACAATATTCATTCCTCAAGGTACCGTGCTATCACGAGTGCCTACTACCGTGGGGCCGTAGGGGCACTGCTCGTGTATGATGTCACCCGCCACGTCACCTTCGAGAACGTGGAGAGGTGGCTCAAGGAGCTCCGGGACCACACGGACCAGAACATCGTCATCATGCTCGTCGGCAATAAGGCGGATCTTCGCCACCTCAGGGCAGTCTCGACTGAGGATGGCCAGTCCTTTGCCGAGAAGGAAAAAACCTACTTTATGGAGACTTCTGCACTCGAGTCCATCAACGTTGAGAACTCGTTCACGGAGGTTCTCACGCAAATCTACCATGTTGTTTGCCGTAAAGCACTTGATATTGGGGAAGATCCCTCGGCTCTTCCCAAGGGGCAGACTATAAATGTGGGGACTAAAGATGATGTGTCGGCTGTTAAGAAAGTCGGTTGTTGCTCTGTATGAAATTTTGGGAAAAAGATTGATGATCGTCAAGTGGGCCAGGCCCGTTTGCCCGTTTGGGTTGTTTTTTTATGATCCGGGGAGAAATTGGGTTGAATCTTTTTGCAGCTCTGTCGGTTTTTCGTCGTTTTCTTCAGAATTCACTTAACTTCTTTTTTTCATTTTTTTTTCCCTTTTTTATTTCTTTTTAACCTCAGCATTCCTTATATATGTATTGCTGTGGTCATGACTTTGGTGAATCTTTATGCTGTATTATTATTATGTTGCATTTATTAGTTTCGATCGTGACATCGTCGACATTTTCTTTAAGCCTTCGACATTTGTTTCGTCTGTGAAATATGATTATTATGCTGTGTGATATCTGTATTAATTAGCTGCCAATGTCATATAGATTGGTTTAAACTAGAATTGAAATGTATGTATAATATCCACATGAGGAAGCAGTTGAATGGTTGTGTGAGCTTGTGTTTTTGCCTGCATTTTTCACTAGTGTTCTTTTCATAATTCTTGAAAGTTACTTCCAAAATTTTTAAGGACTTCTTTGTTTTATAGATTACAGGAACTTTTTTTTTTTTTGGTACAAAGATTACAGGAACTTTGATGTTCAAATAAATAAAAATACAACTACCTCAATATAAAAGGGGAGAAAACAACCAATAAAAAAAGGGGATGGTCCTAAAACCGCGGCCTTATCGGCCTTTATTCAACAATAAAATAGAATGTTGGTTTTATGAAAAGTACTTATGAATCTCATAAAGATTCATCTTCTTTCTTTTTTACTTGAAAAAAATTATACTATGTTTCAAACACCTTAGACAATATTTCTACCCCAACTGCACACTCAATATAAAAGGGGAAAAAACAACCAAAAAATGGGGAGATGAAAAGGAATTAGAATTCAACCATAAAACTTCAAATCATCAGTTTGCTTACTACAAATAGGACTTTTCAATTGGAAGCCCATCTTTATAAACAACAGAATTATGTCTGTGCAATATTAGTGATATAATAGTATAATACAATCAACCTAGTTTCAAGACAAAACAAGAAATTGCCAATTAACCTAGAACCTGTATAATTTGCCTTAGGTGCACACATAACAAAACAAATTTAGTCTAACAATTGTAAAATCTGTACAATATTTAGAGGCAGATTGCACCGGCCAACAATGAATACTGTCTACATGTATGTACAATTGTACATAAATATAATACACGAACGAGAAAAGTTCACTCGTCGATTATAGAATAACTAGTAAATAGAACCAAATCAATGTTTTTCTTTTTCAAGTTTTTCGTTCTTTTGTTGAAATTGTTATTTCAACATCAAATCCTTCCCCTTGCCACGCAAGGCGGTGGATTTGCACACAGGGCAAGTGTTCTTCACGACCAACCACTTTTTTATGCAATCTTTGTGGTATTCATGGCCGCAGTCGAGCACTCCAATACTTTCCCCGTACTCATAATCCATCTGCATATAGAAGCTCGAATTAATCACAAGTTACCGAAAAAAAACACATTTCATCAAGTTATTCATCAAATTCCACGTGATATTGAAACAATTGAACATGTCAATTCTGCGAATATGTAGACTATAGATAGTACAAACTACTATAGAGATAAAGACATTCAACTTTTACACAATACCAATAAACTTTTCATTATTCAGAAGAAGCTTTCCAAATTTTAAAGTGCACGGAAAATGCAAATATTGCGCAAAATTATGCAATTTTTTGTGCTCTGCTTTCCCAAAACTACATTCAAGTAAAATAGAAAAAAGATCTATTTAGTCTGTTTAATATTTGAGATGGTTAAATGAAAATATTGTGCCAAATTTAGGCAGGAGAGCGCAACTTCTTTACATCCTTCGCACAAGCAGGTCAGGTGGTAGAATTGCAGAAAAATAATTTTCCAACAATCTCTAGATAAAAGGTTTATTTTTCCCTCAACATTAAATAAAAAAAGTTACCTGGCACACAACACAAAAGTTGATCGTCTCTTGATCGGGGCACGGTTCAATTTCTAGATTGATACAAGCTGGGCCTGAGGTAAAACTTCTTGTTCTCAAATTGTATTGAATGAACTCCTCAGATAAACCAGTGCCCACACTGCCTATTTGTTCTCCCAATGCTAGAAGCTCCTGTCGTATGATCTCAAAATTAAAACTTTGCATTAAAAGGCCCGCGTAAATTAAATTGGAAATAAAAAAAAAAATACAGACAGCCAAAAAAAGGAAAGATTGGACTAGTTTTAAGATAAATGCGCGCAAAAAATACACAGGAACTACAAACGCCCCAAAACTTGATAAATTGGAAGAGCCATCAATAAATGCCAGACAAACTTTTAAGACACAACACAAAATATCACAACCTCGTATGACATGTGATCGATATCTAGTCGCATGTCCCTGTGCTGATCGATCGACTCTCCTGCTACATGATATCCAGGAATCTCGAGCATAGCAACCTCCTACAGATGATAGTCCACAGCAAACATTCAAACAATTACAAAATTACAGCAATCCCCATTTTTCTAAATTACAAAATACCCTTTATTATTCAAAATTTAAAATTTCGACCTCAATAGGTGCACATATTCTTTAAAAAAACACAAAATTTTCAAGTAGGATTTTGGCAACATTCAATCAGGATACTTGGCTACTTTCTGAAAGATAATAGGGTCTTTCCTCTTGTAATTAGTTCAAACAATCGCGGGTGATTAATCATTATGGAACAGAGTAAGGGGGAAAATAAGAAAATTAGTAAATTACATCTTCTGGCAGTACTCTCAACTGTGGAAAGCCTCGGTGCCTCACATTCGGGTCGAGCATGATTTCCCCATGGTGGGCCCTATAGATCTGGAAGCCCGTAGGCACCATTGGAGCTAAAAATGAGGGCCCGGCTTCCACAACATCTGGAAAAGGACCTGCACTGGCATTCGAATACCTAACCATTGGGATTCCACGTGAAGGCGTGACCATTTGAGATGGGTGGCCCACATTGTATCCTCTAGGCCTTTGCATATGTGGGCCTGGTTGAGTACTTGGGTGGCTCTGAGTCACTGGAGGATGCACAAAACCTGCACCTCTGTTAATGGCCGCTACTGGATAGCCTTGTACGCCTGTAGTACTCGATTCAACACAAGCCCCATTGGCATTAGCTGCATGACAATAAATGAGGGATCTCAAATCAGAAAAGTAAATGCAAAACTTGTAATTCAAAAAAAAAAAAGACAGGTTTTTCCGGCAATAAGGTTAAACATCAGGATAATATTGACGAGGGTTTGCGAAACGCAAGATGAAATCGAACTTAAAGTTCCAATTTTGAAACTTCTCAGGGTTTTTGCACTAACGAAATCAAGCTACTCGTGGGAAAATTACCAAATAAAGATCATAAATCAAAGACAAGAAGATATTTTTACCATGCACATACGGCAAGTTATGAGTAGGCTGTGACCATCCTAGAGCAGCACCAATATCACCATTGTTCCCTCTGAAATTCATATCCAACCAAGGATTACCCGGCAACTGAACAGGTGGCACGACGTAATTTCCTTGCACCAAATTCGCGTTATTATGCACCCGAACAGGATCGGGCCCCACAAACAGAGAGGCTTCCACCCGAGCGACATCCGAGGATGAACTGGGACCCACCTGAGCATTTTGGTGCTGCTGATTGGAAGATGAGCCCTCGGCATTCTTTCTCTTGAACTGCTCCCTAATGATACCATCACCATAGGCGTGATTTGGTGGAACAGGAAAATCTCGAATGCCAGCTGGCGGTGTTAAGTAGGGATTATTATTGTTATAATGGGTGGTGGTGGGTGGGGTTATGTTGAGGTCAAGGTTGTGTTGGGGCGCGGCGGGGTTGTAGGGCCCACCCATGGCGTAGAACAAGGGATTCTCGTGGTGCTGTTCGGGTGCGGGATGGAAATTGATATTCTGGTGGGGGTAGTTTGGTAAATTTGAGTAGACGATGCACTCGGGATGGAGATGGCTGGGGTGGGGATGGCCTTGATCAGCTTGCATCTCAATCATATGATTATTGAACTGAATGTTTCGATGCCCCATTTTGCCTGAAATGCCTGTATTGGATGAGAAATTCAAGAATTAATCGGAAGAATACAAAAATTGCTGTTATAAGAAATTGCCATCACACACAGAGGGAGAGAGAGAGAGAGAGAGAGAGAGAGAGTTTTCTCTATCATAGTTTGCCAACAAAATTGTTGCTATGAAAAAAATTGAACTTTTCTGCTTTTCCAGGAAAAAGATATTGCCATCAGCAAGAGGGGCAATGCTAATGAGTGGATATCTACAAACGCCACGAGATATATATCACTATTTTCAGAATTATAAGAAGAAGAAGTTAATATACAAACAAAAAAGGAGAAAGAAAGGAAGGGAATAAAATGAAAATAAGAAACTTGTAGCTAGAACAAGTCTTAATTTCATTCTCTTAATAAATAGAGTAAGTCAACCCTTGAACAGGATCCTGCCTCTTCCAGCATTTTCAGATCAACAAGATTGTATTACAATTTCTGGCGAGTAATAGTAACCTTAGGTTTTGCAAAGTGACAAAAGCTATTAGTTCAAAGCACCTTAACCACAAGAGAAGACAGGTAAGAGAACAGCTTAATTTTAGAGTAAATAAGGTCAATTTAACAAAACCAAAAAAATATGACAAAAAGGAACAAAACTGAAAAATATAGATTTTTTCTGGGAAAAACATGAAAGATTTAAATCCCATACGAAATTATCCAAGCTTTCAAGAAGTACATGAGATCAACAATTAATGACTGACGAAAATGAAAAGGCCTTACGCCCGACCCGAAAATCCCGACAATTGACTTCTGTCAGAGTTTTATAGCACAAGAATCGGCATATAAGAAAATGAAAAGGCCTTACAAGAGAAAGGAAAGATCTAGAATCACATAACACTTTCCAGAAATGAAAAATTTATGATAATTTTTTTTTTTAATAAAAAAGCATTTACATTACAATTAAGCACATCTGTCGGACTTAGAAGCCGAGAAATGAAATGTGACAGTAAATGCACTGAGATCGAACCGTGGGACCCAACACCGCCTAACGATTAATGTACTCGCCACTCCACTAATGCATATAATGACACAGTACACTCACGATCAACCTGAGAAAATAACTATGACACAGCATAGACATTGATGAAGATTTCAATTAAGTCAAAATTCCATAAACCCAACTATGCAGATCAATATGAAAAAGAGATATCTGATACGATTCCGCCAAATAAAGATCAATTAACTGCCATATCCTGCAAATAAGAAGCTAGAAAGAACCAATTTAATCAGGGCAAACATAACAAACTATTTCATTTATTATAAATTAAGGTTTATTTTCCTCCTCTCACCAGCATTCAAGCAAAATACACCAAAGCAAAAAAAATAAAAAATAAAAAAATCACCCATCAACAACAAAAATTGGGTAATCCGAAATACAAGCAAACTAAAAAAAAAAAAAAAGAGGTAAAATTAACCTTGTTATCATGAAAAAGCTGCAAGCTTTCCCAAGGCCCAACCTTATACACTCCAGCAGCAAATTCAATTCAATTACTTGATAATCCCTGCAAATTTGTGGGGCAAAAAAATAGGAAAAGCAAAAACCCTAATATTGAGACACGCATTAGAAGTGATCATCGATCATCGGAACTACAATCAAACAAAAACCCACCAAGATTATGCCGTCAAAAGAGAAAATGTATGCATTGCATGTACGAATGAGTGCTCACGAATCAACTCTAACGATAATCAGAAAAAATCATTAAAAAAGTCAGAAATTATAAATTCACACAGGACCATAATTACAGAAAATACTAACCTACTTGAAGAATGAGGAAGGAAAATGATTCAGGGATCTGATGAAAAAAGGGAAGAAAAGAAGAAAAGAGATAAATTGCCTGCAATTGAGAGAGAGAACCTTTTAATGGAAAATCACCTGTTATGACTTATGAGCCTCTTGTATTGTTGTTTGTGTATTGTATTTTTAAATTTATATTTTTTAGTTAACTGCGTACGTGGATACACTAATACCCTTTATACCCTCAATTTGACGTTAAATTGCCGTATGTATCATCTGCTTTATAAAGCTATCGAGGGTGGTTCAGTAATAGTGTTGTCTCGGTTACAGGCAAAAGGAATTGCATATTTCAATACAAAACTATATTCAGTATTTTTTTAAGAAAATTGAATTTATTTTAAACTAAATTATTTCCCTTCCCTAGTTTGTTTTGGTAACCAAGTGTATTAGGCTATTAGCTGTTAAAATGCAAGCTAAGCGTCATTATTACTTGTAACAAAGTTTTTTGTTTTTATGTTGTAATTTTTGCAGCCTCTAACCCAGCAGCGTTTATTTATTTATTAATTAGAACAATACTTAGCAATTCCCACCAAAATAATATATGCAATTAAATCGGCATATATACACATGTATATATAATAGGATTTATAAAGTCATTAGTAATTATTGATAAATAAGGTATTGACAGTCTCAAATAAATACATTTGATGCACATGTTAATACATTAATTAATAGATCGCTATGTAAAACAGTCATATGTTGACTCCGTATTTTTTTTATTATACCGGTCATAGATAACACAATTACGTTTTTAGACTATTTTGTTATTTCTATATGAGAAAACAAGTTAGTTGATAGCTGGAAAATTTATTTTGAGCTAACAATTGATGGACCATTTAAAAAAAGTAATAGATAAATTTAGTCGATAAGTTGGACGAAACAAAAATTGCAATGAACTATTTTTAAACATGCCTAAATAATCATTTGAAATAAACTCTATATTTATGAAAACGTTAATCCTACCAAACAAGCTAGTAAATTACTAGTTTGAATACAAGGTTATAAAGCTAAATTAGTAAGTTATAAGCTTGCTTGTGCTTATCAAATCTATCATATAATATAGAAAGCAGTATTTAGAACAATATTAATTATATTGTGAAGTTGCAAGTAGCCTTTGCTTCTTCTTAAGACTTGGAACATATGTGACAGAAGCAAATCATCCACGGCAATCAAAGTATTGTTTGAAATATTGTGATAGTTGCCAAAATTGATAATTGAGCTAGCAAATCCCACCTTAAAATCTTCTCACAAAAGCTCTGTTTATGTTTATAATTTTTAAATTGGTCAATAA